AAGATTCCACCCACCATTACTACATGAAGCATTGAGGAACGATTCAGTTATGAATCAGTTCGATATGCCGAACATAGCTGAAAGATGCATTGAACAATGGAACAATTCAGCCCTGGATTTATGAATTCAATATGCCGAACAGAACTGAAAGAGGTATTCACAAGAGACCATGAAGGACAGGGACCGAAAAGTTATTTTTAGATCGTGCTTACTCCTTAGGAAAACTCTCCTTTTCCGCCGGTTCAAAGCCCATTTTTTAAAAAGCCAAATGTCATTGAAGGACAGTTAAAAACAAATCGAAACCCTTTTATCCCAACGATACACTGAAGACACTTTAATTCGGTGTTGAAAGGAATATTCAATAAATCATATTTGATGTTTGAAAGAGTAAGAGAAGAGTTTGAAAATCACGAGTTCCTCCACATCCAAAGGCCATTTTTCGCTTCTTCACGAAAACTAAGAAAATGTTCATTGATTTTAAAACAATTGAATGTAAACACAAAATCAAAATCAAGACATCCCAAAATTCAAGATGGTCGCCGTATCGAAATCGGGAGTGATCTATTTTTAGCTATCCCAAATACGGACATCCGGAAGTGCGAGCCAGCAAAATGAAACCCTTCTGGGGTGAGAGTTGTCGCAATAATATGACGTCACTTCTGGTAATAGCTACSTTTTTAAAGGCTTGTAGAATCTTGGAGGTTGTTTTGATCTCTCATTTTCTGGTTTCATGTCGTAGAAATAGTCAAATGCGATAGTTTGAGGACTTATTTTGACATGTTTTGACTTAACATCCGCTAGTTGCACCTCAGTCAACCGCTTGTTTGCCCCCCAGTCAACTCCAGTAAGTCACGTGATTGATAGTAAGCATCAGAATGAAATTATAAGATATCTATCATATGATGTATGGATATAAGATATGCAGAGAAAAAAAGATAACACGAAAACGGATGTCCAGGCGCAATGGGAACTGTGAAATGAGAACTGCATTGAAAGGGCGTCCTGTACGTGCCACAAGTCATACATTTTTAAGCTCGAGTCGCCAAGCTTCTGGTTTTAATATTGCTGAATAGGGTATTGAACTATAGTTTGAAGTTTTCATAACACTTTAACTGGAAAAAGAAGCTTTTGTTCCGTGACGAGCTCACGGCCTTTTCAAACTCAAAATTTTGTATTGAAACATTCGTTGGTAGGCAAAAATTAGTTACAATAGTTCACACTTGAAAAAATCATATTTTTGCCAGTTTTAAACCCATTTCCTTCAAACTCACAGTTTTGTTTACTTTAACACGCTTTCCAGCTATGGTCATTAGTTTTATGTTTTACTAGAGAGAATTCTTTTATCGTATTCAAGCAGTGAGAGCCAAAAACTGTTTTCTTGAAGAATGGCTGTTGTACAAGGCTAAAATCTTGTTATTCAGAAAGTTTAACTTGTTTGGAAGTGGAGATGACCGATGAGTGGAATCAAAGTGTTAACCCAAAGCAAAAATTTGAATCGAAAATGAGGTTTAGGCCTTCATTTGCTTATTTCCCATATATTTTCTATAAAAAAGCCTGACAAAGCAACATTCTAACACAAATGCAACAAAACATGCATCTTGGTACAATTGAAAATACCGATTCAAACAGGCATTTTATCATAGTACATCAGTTCCTAAATGTTTAAAAAAGGTTTTGAGTGTTAACCCAAAACGAAAATTGGGATCAAAACTCATACGAAAGTCTAGTTTTTGGCGCTTTTTGCCTAATTATTGCTCATTATTGAAAAACATTCCTCTCAATTTACTAATTTAAAAATACCCTGGTCAGTAAAAGCCCATTCAAAATATAACTACAACTCTTTCTTTCCCTTGCTTTTAGAAAGCCTATTATTGATGCATTCTACTCAAAATTTTTTGTTTTTGGTGGGCGATTCTCATCACAGGACTTTCCATTTCCTGAGCCATTTAGCCGGGTCCATTAAGCATGGTGATCAGGGTCTCAGTTTTACTAAGGATACCATACAGTTCATTTCAAGATATCTTAATCTAGATTTCATCCACGACCAATAGAAAAACCAGCAAAATTTCGGCCTTGAAAGAGTACGGCTTTTCTCAGTTTAGCGACTTTACATGCACCTGCTGAGAAATTTATAGAATTGTGAAAAACTGAGCACTTGGCATTCTTGCGACATAAAAACAACTACAAAAAAAACCAAAGCAACACGATGAAAATTTTTCACAACTTGTCCGATTTGGTTCCAGCAAATGCATCAATTACAGATAATGTCACGCTTTTCCAGTGTCCTATGAAGATTCCGTCGTTACCACCGTGGGACCCGTCCGCCTTCAACGAAGCAGCCAAAGTCTCAACAATCCTTGCCATTACGGTCAACGTCTTAACGCTGCCATTCACTTTATTTTGCAATGCAGTGGTGATGTTCGTCGTTTGGAAGAATGAATCTCTTCAGGTTGAGCGAGTGATAGTCCTGGCTTACTTAGCCTTCACTGACTTTCTTGTTGGATTGATCTGTCAACC